GCAATGACGCGATCTCGGCTCACCGCAACCTCCGCCTCCTGGGTTCAGGCAATTCTCCTGCCTCAGCCTCCTGAGTAGCTGGGATTACAGGCACGTGCCACCGTGCCCAGCTAATTTTTTGTATTTTAAGTAGAGACGGGGTTTCACGAAGTTCACCAGGATGGTCTCGATCTCTTGACCTCGTGATCCATCCGCCTCGGCCTCCCAAAGTGCTGGGATTACAGGCTTGAGCCACCGCGCCTGGCCCTTCCTTCCTTTCTCTCTTTCCTTTTCTTTTTTTTCTTTTCTTCTTTTTTTTTTTTATCTTTGTCTTGCTGTGTCACCCAGGCTGGAGCACAGTGGCACCACCATTGCTCACTGCAGCCTCAAACTTCTGGGTTCAAGCCATCCTCCTGCCTCAGCCTCCCCAATAGCTGGAACTACAAGCATGTACCACTACGCCCGGGGAATTTTTAATTTTTTTGTAGGGATGGAATCTTGCTATGTTGCCCAGGAACCTGCATCCCCTTTCTGAAACTCTCTCCAGGACCCGTCTCCAACAATCATCCCCAGTGTCTGCGTATCAGTTTCACTCTCCCTGCCTCCCTCTGCGGAGGCTAGAAGAGCGGTTCCCAAAGGGAAGCCTGCCGGGGAAAGAGTAATCCAAGAATCTTACCGAGACTGACCGGGGAAAGGTACGCTTACTATTATAAAGTGAAGGTACACTTCATATTTTTTTTTTTCAACAAGAAAGCCAGAGTTTCACTCTTGTTGCCCAGGCTGGAGTGTAGTGGCAGGATCTCAGCTCACTGCAACCTCTCCTTCCCGGGTTCAAGTGATTCTCCTGCCTCAGCCTCCAGAGTAGCTGGGATTATAGGTGCCAGACACCACACCTGGCTAATTTTTGTATTTTTAGTAGAGATGGGATTTCACCATGTTGGCCAGGATGGTCTTGAACTCCTGGCCCCAGGTGATCCACCTGCCTTGGCCTCCTAAAGTGCTGGGATTACAGGTGTAAGCCACCGTGCCCAGCCTCCTCTTCTATTAATAGTAACTCCTTCCTCTTCCTTGGGTCATTAGGAGTGATAACACATTGGTGTTTCTTAACCAGAGAGGAATTTTTCTGGAGTTAAGTGGGATGTTCTATTATGAAGTCTAGGCTGTGCGCAGTGGCTCATGCCTGTAATCCCAGCACTTTGGGAGGCCAAGGCAGTTGGATCACCTGAGGTCAAGAGTTTGAGACCAGCCTGGCCAACATGGTGAAACTCCATCTCTGCTAAAAATACAAAAAAATTAGCCAGGAGTGGGTGGCGGGTGCCTATAATTCCAGCTACTGGGGAGGCTGAGGCAGGAGAATCGCTCGAACCTGGGAGGTGGAGGTTGCAGTGAGCTGGGATCACGCCACTGTACTTTCAGCCTCACCAAAGTGAGACTCTGTCTCAAAAAAAAAAAAAAAAAGAAAAAGAAAAAATAATTGACTGGGCATGATGGTGGGTGCCTGTAGTCCCGGCTACTCAGGAGGCTGAGGTGTGAGGATTGCTGTTTGAACCCAGAGGTCAAGGCTGCAGTGAGCTATGATTTTACCACTGTACTCCAGCATGGGGGACAGAGCAAGACCCTGACTCAAGAAAAAAGCAGAAAGGAAAAAGAAAAAAAAAAGAAACCTAAATGTCACGGGGACCTTTGGCCCTTTTTGCTTTAGCTTTGCTGCAGCCATTGTGTTTTTTTTGTTTGTTTGTTTTTTGTCTTTTCAAAAATTATTTATTTATTTATTTATTTTCTTGAGACAGGGTATTGCTCTGTCACCCAGGCTGGAGTGAAGTAGGGTAATCGTGGCTCACCGCAGCCTCGACCTCTCTGGGCTCAGGTGATTCCCACATCAGCCTCTGGAGTAGCTGAAACTGCAGATGTGAGAGGCTAATTTTTTTTTTTTTTTTTGAGACGGAGTTTTGCTTTGTTGCTCAAGCTAGAGTACAGTGGTATGATCTCGGCTTACTGCAACCTCTGCCTCTCTGGTTCAAGTGATTCTCCTGTCTCAGCCTCCCCAGTAGCCAGGATTACAGGCATGCACCACCGTGCCCGGCTAATTTTGTATTTTTAGTACAGACAGGGCTTCTCCATGCTGGTCAGGCTGGTCTTGAACCCCAGCCTCAGGTGATCTGCCCAACTTGGCCTCCCAAAGTGCTGATCTAACAGGCATGAGCCACTGCGCCTGGCCACCCGGCTGCTTGCTCATTTTGAATGTTTTTTGTAGAGACAGGGTTTCACCATGTTAGTCAGGCTGGTCTCAAACTTCTGACCTTAGGTAATCCACCCGTCTTCGCCTCCCAAAGTTCCGGGACTACAGGTGCAAGCCACCATGCTCAGTTAATTTTTATATTTTTAGTAGAGATGGGGTTTCACCATGTTGGCCAGGCTGGTCTCAAATTCCTGGGCTTAAGCTATGTCCCCCGCCACAACTCGGCCTCCCAAATGCTGAGGTTACAGTCGTGAGCCACTGGGCCTGGCCACATTTCCCTTCTATGCAAATCTCTTGCACACATTGTCCACAGCTCCTGGTTTCAACTCTCGCCTCCCACTCCCTTTTCCGTCCAGTGTTTCGGTTTCCACGCCTCTCGCCAAGGCCACCAATGACCACCTGGCTACTCTGAATTCCATGGCTGTTCCTCAGGCCTCATCTTGCCTGGCCACTCCTGCAGCCTCAGACACCATGGCCCACAGCCACCTCCTTGAAATCTTTTTGTTCTGTGAGTTTCTAGACTGACTGCTTCCCCTACCCTGGTTTCGGTTGCCATCTGTATGCTAACGACTTCCAGGTTTTATGAGATCTCTAGATGTCACCCTACTTCCTGGATGTCTCTGCCGGGGCCTTATCCAGGCTTGCCAAGCTCTACATTTATTTTATTTTCATTAATCTACTTTTTGAGACACGGTCTCACTCTGTCGCCCAGGCTGAATTGCAGTGGTGCAGTCTTGACTCACTGTGGCCTCCATCTCCTGGACTGAAGCAAGCCTCCCACCTCAGCCTTCTGGGTAGCTGGGACTACAGGCATATGCCACCACACCCAGCTAATTAAAAAAAAAAAAAAAGGTTTTTGTAGAGATGGGGTCTCGCTATGTTACCCAGGCTGGTCTGAGACTCTTAGGCTCAAGCTACCCCTCCAGCTTTGGCCTCCCAAAGTGCTGGGATTACAGGCATGAACCAGCAGACTCGGCCTCACCAAACTCTATACCCTCAACACGGGACCCATCATCTTCCCCCAGAAACATGATCTCCTATTTTGGTAAATGGCACCACTATCCAATCAGTGACCTAAGATGGAAACTCCCAGGTTCCAGCCTTCTTTTTTTTTTTTTTTTTTTTTGAGACGGAGTTTCTCTCTTGTTACCCAGGCTGGAGTGCAATGGCGCGATCTCGGCTCACCGCAACCTCCGCCTCCTGGGTTCAGGCAATTCTCCCGCCTCAGCCTCCTGAGTAGCTGGGATTACAGGCACGCGCCACCATGCCCAGCTAATTTTTTATATTTTTAGTAGAGACGGGGTTTCACCATGTTGACCAGGATGGTCTCGATCTCTCGACCTCGTGATCCACCCGCCTCGGCCTCCCAAAGTGCTGGGATTACAGGCTTGAGCCACTGCGCCCGGCCTCCAGCCTTCTTTTCTAGATTCTCCTCTCTCTCACCCTGCACATCCTAGTGGCTCCCGGGTCCTGCCCACCTTAGCCGCCTCTACCAGGTTCCGCCTCCACTCCCCGCCGGTGCCTAATTTCCAGCCATCATTCACTCCAAGATGACGGCATATGCTGGTAGCTGGTTCCCCGCCTTTCTCTCTCTCCCTGAATCCCCGTTCCAAACAGGCTGCTGTAGAGATTAAAAGTATCTGACTGGGTACTTCTCCTTTCATGACTCCCTACACCCAGAGTAAGGTTCAAAGTCGTAATTCCACACCCGGGACAGTCCATGACTTGGCCTCTGCTGGACCCCTGGGCTTCATTGACCCTTCCTGTCTCCCATGTTGTTCCATGCAGTCATTTGAATCTCCTGCCCCCACCAAGTCGCCCTGTGCCTGGGCTCCAGGCCCCCTTTCCCTCTCAGTCTCCTGTGTTTCCTCCCAGACACTAGTGCCTCTCCACGGTGTTTACCTCAACCACTCCTCCATTTTCTTTTTCTTTTCTTTTCTTTTGTTGTTGTTGTTGTGTTTTTGAGATAGGGTCTCTCTCCGATGCCCCAGCTGGAGTGCAGTGACACAATCATAGCTCACTGCAGGCTTGGTCTCTGGGGCTCAAGCCATCCTCTTGCCTCAGCCTCCCGAGTAGCTGGGACCACCATGTGTGTGCCATCATACCCAGCTAATTTTTTTTTTTTTTTTTTTTTTGGTAGATGGGTTCTTGCTATGTAGCCCAGGTTGGTCTCGAACTCCTGGGCTCAAGCAAGCCTCCCACCTCGTCTTCCAGCAGTGGGCCCCTGAACCCCAGCCTCAATCCCCTCTGAAACGCCCCTTGTAAGTCCTCCCACTTCACTCCCTTGAGAGTCCCAGGAAGGAGATGGGCCCCCTTTCTCATCTCTCCCCCAGGTGAGAAGATTTGGTCGAGTGTTTTATCCAAACAATAGGTCTTTTTATTTTCTTTGTTCCATAGGACATGGCAGTACGGAATGCTGAGTGCGCTCTGCTCTTTCACTAGGCGCACCGGAGATTCCGAATGCGCGGGCGTCGGGCTCCCAGCACAGACCCAGGGGCACATCTCTGCCACCTTCCCCTCCCTCCCCCAGCCAAGGCGTGCGGGAAGGGCGTGCGCGTGCCGGCTTCCTGGATTGGGCCTTGGCTTTGGCCACCCAGGCTGTCTTCCGAGTCCCCAGGGAGTGGGCCAGTGACCACCCTGTGATCACCAAGCTCAGTTCACAACCCCACCTCCCCTCTAAGCGCCATCCAGGAGAGCGAGATCCAGCCAAGGCTGCCGCCCGCCCGGAGCATGGCGCTCTGCAGGGAGGCGCAGGCGCTCGGAACAAGCAGGCTCCACCAAGTGCAAAACGAAAAGGCTTTTATTGAAAAACATCAAGTGCCCCCTTTCGTAGCTGCCGGTCCCTGCCCAGCGCGAGCATTGAGGGCAGCGGCCGATGGGGCTTGACGGGGCGGACGGGTATCGGCGGGCACCCCAGCCCCGTGCTCCAGAGGGGTGAGGTTTCACAGTTCATGGGGCTTGGTCCCTGGGCCCCGAAGTCGACTCGCCGGCCTGCAAAGGGATGGCTTCGGCGTAGGGGGGCCTGGAGCCGGCCCCTCCCAGTCCAGCGCGGGGGCTTCCTGGCATCTGGGGGTGGGCCGGCCTCCGAGGCAAAGCTGCGCGCTGGACAGCCTGACGCGCGGTCCAGTTCGCGGTGGAGGTGGTGGAGGTCTCCTTGCGTGTGTCCCTTAGACGTAGTCCTTGCGGTCGTAGGCTGTACCCATGCTGGGTCCTGGGCCGGAGGAGCGTGGCCCGGAGTAGACGACCTTGGTGGGCGTGTATTTCTTTTCGCGCGGGGGGCACGAGCAGCAGAGCAGCGCGCCCCCCAGCAGCTGCAGCGCCGCGGCCGCCCAGCCCACGTACAGGCCCGCGCCCATCTCGCGCTTCTGCGCCTCGGGCACCAGGGGGTTGTAGAAGTCCCGGATAATGGTGTTGGCCGACCAGGACACCGGCACGAGGGTGAGCAGGGCAGCCAGCAGGAACAGCACGCCCGCCACGATGGTGATCTTGGCCTTGGCCGTGTCGTCCTGCACGCAGTTGGTGCACTGGGCGCCCACCAGCGCCACGAGCAGCCCGAAGGCGGCCAGCAGGATGGCCACCACGATGAGGGCGCGGGCCGCCTGCAGGTCCTGCGGCAGCGCCAGCAGCGAGTCGTACACCTTGCACTGCATCTGGCCGGTGCTCTGCACCACGCAGTTCATCCACAGGCCCTCCCAGATGGTCTGCGACGTGATGATGTTGCTGCCGATGAAGGCCGTCACGCGCCACATGGGCAGCGCGCAGCACACGATGGTACCCAGCCAGCCCAGCACGGCCAGCGCGGTGCCCGTGATCTCCAGGCCCATGGACATGGCTGCCGCGGCAAAGCCCGCTCCACCGGGTGGCTCCGGGTGCGGGGAGACGAGGGGCCCGGGCCGCTGGGCCTGGGCGGGAGCTGCGGCGCCCCGAGCGACGCACGGACGGACGGGCGGACGGAGGGACGGACTCACCGACGGCGCGCGCTAACGGCTCTGCTCCACACGCTCGCGCCGCAGCTGCGCCTGCACCTGCCTGCGGATCTGTGGGCGGGCGGCGGCGACTGGGCTGGTCCTGGGCTGGGGCCGGTGCGTCTTAGTTAAGTGCCCAGCGCTCCGGCGGGGGCGGGAGGGGCGGAGCCGCGCTCTCCAGGGCCTGGGGACAGTGACGTGGCCCCCGCCTCCCACCTTCACCGAGCGCCCTGGGAGGAAGGACTTGGCCCCGCGCGGCCCACGACGCCGGGGTGAGGGGTTGCCAGGGAAGGGCGGGGCCTGCCCCCTCCCCCGCCCCTCGCTTCTTGTCCCCCTCTGCTCGGGAACGGATTCTCCGGGGCGAAACGGAGGACAGGGTGCGTCAGGGGCTCGAGGTGCAAATCCCAAAGAGTTTGACACGGACGCTCTCTTCTCACCACTTCGGGCGTTTTTGGCACGGGCCGCGTGGGGACGGGGGCGCTGCCAATTACCCCGGAACGGCGGGGCGGGGGGGTGGGGGGGCGGGGGGTGGGGGGGCTCGGGTGGGCGTGGCCGCGGCTGTGTGCACCAGCGGCGCACCTGCTCGCACAGGCCCGGCCTGAGTCCCGGCGCGGGGGTTGTCCAGCCCGGGAGGTGCTGGGCCCAGAAGCCAGGGTCTGCCTGCAAAGGTACCAGAAAGGTCCACTTAAGCCCAACTGAGCTCAAATTCCTCTCCAGCTCTCCCTCCAGTTCCCACTGCTGGCCTTGAGCCTGCATGCCTTTAGCTAAGCCGCTCTCCCCTCCCAGAAGTCCCCCCTCTTCTCATTGAGTCCCCTCTCCTCCCCGGCCCTGCCCTCCCTCCGGTTGAGCCCGAGCTGGGGTCCGCCTTAATGAAGTGGTGAAAGAGCTACGATCTTGGCAAAAGTGGGAAGTCAGGCCGGGCCGAGCACCGTGGCTTATGTCTGTAATCCCAGCGCTTTAGGGGGCTGAAAAGGGAGGATCGCTTGAGACCAGGAGTTCAACACCAGCCTGGGCAACATAGTGAGACCCCCCTGTCTACGAAAAAATTAAAAAATTAGCCAGGTGTGGTGGTGTGTGCCTATAGTTCTAGCTACGACTCTGGAGGCTCAGGCAGGAGGATCACTTGAGCCCACGAGGTGGAGGCTGAGCTATGATTGCACCACTGCATTCCAGCCTGGGCAACAGAGAGCAGACCCTGTCCAAAAAAAAAAAAAAAAAAAAAAAAAAAGGAGGCTGGGCGCTGTTGACTCAGGCCTGTAATCCCAGCCCTTTGGGAGGCCGAGGTGGGTAGATCACCTGAGGTCAGGAGTTTGAGACCAGCCTGGCCAACGTGGTGAAACCCTGTCTCTACTAAAATACAAAACTTAGCAGGCATGTGCCTGTAATTCCAGCTACCCGGGAGGTTGAAACAAGAGAATTGCTTGAACCTGGGAGGCAGAGGTTGCAGTGAGCTGAGCTCATGCCACTGCACTCCAGCCTGGACCACAGATGGAGACGCTGTCTCAAAAAAAAAAAAAAAAAAAAAAAAAGGAAGTCAGAAACGCTATCTCAAAGCCTTAGCTCTAACACTTGGACAATTATTCCCCCTTCTTCACCAGGCTCAGAGTCCTTCACAGCTGGTCTTGGAAGTTCAGCCTGGGCTGTCCCTACCCCCAACTTCTCTCTTCCCCTCAGGGCACAGCTTGTGTACCACATGCCACACGTGCCCCTGCCTCAGAGTCCCTGCACAGAGTCCATGTCCCCCCTGTGATGGGACATGCCTGCAGACATCCACATGGCTTACTCCTGTCTTTAGCGTTTTGCTCTCAATGAGTCTCTCACTGACCACCCAATTTAAAATTGCAGCTTCTGGCCAGGCTCCGTGGCTCACGCCTGTCATCCCAGCACTTTGGGAGGGCTGAGGTGCACAGAACACTTGAGGTCAGGAGTTTGAGACCAGCCTGGCCAACATGGCGAAACCATCACTGGCGAGGCATGGTGGCTCATGCCTGCAATCCAGCACTTTGGGAGGCCAAGGTGGGTGGATCATTTGAGGTCAGGAGTTCAAGACCAACCTAACCAATGTGGTGAAACCCTGCCTCTACTAAAAATACAAAAATTAGCCAGGCATGGTGGCACATGCCTGTAATCCCAGCTACTCGGGAGGCTGAGGCAGGAGAATCCCTTGAACCCAGGAGATGGAGGTTGTGGTGAGCCAAGATCATGCCGCTGCACTCCAGCCTGGGTGACAGGGCAAGACTCCATCTCAAAAATAAATAAATAAATAGATTAATAAAATAAAATTGCAGTTTCTTACCCCACAATGGCCTGTCCCCCTTTAATACTTTATATTCTGCTTAGCGTTTAATGCCATCGGACAATATTCTATATTTTTCTTATTTATGTTTCATTGTACTTAAAATTTTTTTAAATTGCCAGTGAGTGTAATACATGTGGGACACTCAGTGATTTTTATTTTTTTTTTTGAGATCTGTCACCCACACTGGAGTGCAGTGGCACGATCTCAGCTCACTGCCACTTCCACCTCCCAGGTTCAAGCAATTCTCCTGCCTCAGCCTTCCGAGTAGCTGGGACTACAGGCATATGCCACCATGCCCGGCTAATTTTTTTTTTGTATTTTTAGTACAGGCAGGGTTTCACCACATTGGTTAGGTTGGTCTTGAACTCCTGACCTCAAATGATCCACCCACCTTGGCCTCCCAAAGTGCTGGATTGCAGGCATGAGCCACCATGCCCAGCCAGTGATGGTTTAATACATGGAGTGTATAGTAGTCAGATCAGGGTAACTGGCATATCTATCTATCTATCTATCTATCTATCTATCTATCTATCTATCTATGTATATTTTTATTTAATAAAGACGGAGTTTCACCATGTTGGTCAAGCTGGTCTGGAACTCCCGACCTCAAGTGATCCACCTGTCTCGGCCTCCCAAAGTGCTGGGATTACAGGTGTGAGCCACAGTACCCAGCCTCATCATCTCAAATCTTTCTTTGTGTTGGGAACATTCAATAACTTATTCATTTATTTATTTTAGAGACAGGATCTTGCTCTGTCACCCAGGCTGGAGTGCAGTGGTACTATCGTAGCTCACTGCAGCCTTGAACTCTTGAACTCAAACAATCCTCCAAGTTCAGCCTCCCAAGTAGCTGGGAGTACAGGCACACACCACCCCGCCCGCCTAATTTTTTCATTTCTTTTTAGAGATGGGGTCTCGAGGTGTTGCCCAGGCTGGTCTCAAACTTCTGATCTCAAGCGATCTTCCTGCCTTGGCATCCTGCAGTGCCAGAATTACAGGTGTGAGCCACCATGCCTAGCCTATTTTTTAAATTGTTCCTTTCTCTCTGTTCCACTATGTCAGCTCCATTGGGACATCTGGAATGTCTCAGAATAGGCAAGAATTTTTCTGGTTTTATTCCCAGTGGCTAGAATGGCATTGGGTACTCAAGGGAGAGTCGGTTTAGTGACTTGAATGAAGGGGAGACATTCTCATGTTCCTACAACCTTGCCTACCCAGGCTTTCCTACTGGCATACATGAGGTAATGGGACGTGACTGTGTTAACTGAGTCAAGGGGGCTTGGTCATCTAGTAGGAGTCAAGGGCTCTTTCAGAGATGAGAGACCCCATTGAGCTGGGCATAGGAGTTTTTCAGGGTTGCCTCCATTGTCTCAAATCACAGGCAGGCAGCCTGTGCCCTCTCCATAAGTGCCCAAGCCTTGGAGTGACAGAAGAGTAAGAAACATAGCCGGGCACGGTGCTCCCGCCTGCAATCCCAGCACTTTGGGAGGCCGAGGTGGGCGGATCACCTGAGGTTAGGAGTTCGAGACCAGCCTGGGCAACATGGTGAAACCCTGTCTCTACTAAAAACACAAAAATTAGCCAGGCATGGTGGCAGGCACTTATAGTCTCAGCTACTCGGTGGGCGAGGCAGGAGAATCACTTGGACCCAGGAGGCAGAGGTTGCAGTGAGCTGAGCTCGTGCCACTGCACTCCAGCCTGGGTGATAGAGCAAGACTCCATCTCAAAAGAAACAGTACCAGGGGCTCATGGAAACCAGGGTCCTACTTCTTGCAGGAGCAAAGGTCTTGGGCTGGGCTTGTTGGGCAGGGCCTGGGCAGATCTGGGAGTGCCAGTCCAGAGGGCCCAGCTGGTGTTGGGTGGAGCTGCTCTAGAGGAAGTGCGGGTAGCTCAGGTCCTCTGGTGGACTACTGGCTGCCACAGTTTCCCGGCGAGTGGGGGTGGCTCTGGGCCAGAGGAAAAGTGGACCCTCCAGGTGGTTCGGCTGGGCTTAGACTGGTGGCCAGTTGTGCCTGGAATGGGCGTCATGAGCTCTAATTTGCTGGCTTTGAGGCTGGTGAAAGTCATGTCGCCTCTCTTGGCCTCAGTTTCCTCCTCTATAAAATGAGGGAAATGGCGTCTGCATGACTCACTTCCAGGGTTACGGTGAGAACAGAGGCGATGTTAAGTGTGCAATAAAGCAGAAAACAGCCAGGCAGGCATGTATATGTGCAGAAAAATTGTGCAGAGATAGGGTGGGGTTTGGTCGGGTAGATCCGAACTTGAGCCTGGCTTTGCTCTCCTGGGTCACGAGAGCTGGAGCCAGTCCTTTTTCCACCTCAAGCCTCAGTTTCCCTATCTGTGAGACGAGAGTTGTTCTGTGTTGCTTGGGTTTGGGGCCTGTGCCTGAGCCTGGGGGAGGTGGACCTGCTGGGCAGGGCTGCACTGAGATGAGGCCAGCAGGACAGAGCTTTGTGCCCAGGGGCCAAACTTCAGGGACTTTGCAAATAAGACTTTGCCTCTGCGCAAACACAGCTCCAATCAGCTTTTTGCTCAATAGCTACCATGATTCCTAGAACTCATAATAAAAAGACAAATAAACCAATTTAAAAATGGCCAAAGAAACTGAGTGGACATTTAGAATAGAGAAAGAAGATATAAAAATGGCCAGTAAGCGTGACTGGGGGCAGTGTCTCATGCCTGTGATCTTGGCACTTTGAGAAGCCGAGGCAGGGGAATTGCTTGAGGTCAGGAGTTTAAGACCAGCTTGGGCAACATAGCGAGACCTTGTCTCTACTTAGCCAGGCATGGTGGTACACACCTGTAGTTCCAGCTGCTTGGGAGGCTGAGGTGGGAGAATTGCTTGAGCCTAGGAGTTTGAGGCTGTAGTGAGCTCTGATTGTGCCACCGCATTCCAGTCTGGGCAACAGAGGGAGACCGTGTCTCAAAAAAAAAAAAAAAGTCCAATAAATACACGAAAAGATGCTCAACATCACTGGTCATTAGGGAAATACAAATCAAAGCCACAAAGAGACACCACTTTGCACCCACTAGGGAGGCAGTGATCACATAACATGCTGGTGAGGATGTGGAGAAACTGACACGCTGATGCATTGCTCGTGGTA